GTAGGTAGGTAGGTAGGCAGGTGTAGGTGCCTGAACCATTTGGGTAATAGTCTACTTTTACAAATAAAGTGTACGGGGCCCTGAACTGTTAACCTGAGAACAAACCACCAGCGGGTTGATGGACAGAAGCTGTAGCCTTTAGCCGACGTTAGCCGTTTTCGGTTTAGGTTTTTGGGTTTACGGAGTTTACGGTTTAGGGTTTCAGTTGGCCGTGCCCTTAAACCCAAGAGCTGTTAAGCCACGCTGCAGATCGAACCAATGGTCGGAGAAGGAGTTGGCAATGCAGATCCGCGGGTGAGAGCCTTTGCGACGGAGTCTGCGCATTCGGCAGGGAGTTTAGGACCTGTCCCTAAGGATCCACGTACTCCCTCTTAGACGACTTTTGGTCCATTTTGCGTTGCAAAAACTATAAATAAGGACTACTTGGACCCTCAGTGTGTGGCTCCAACTACCTATCGTTTTACGAGTCATGCCTTAAGACCCAAGGGTCAAGCTATGCGGCATTGGAAACCGGGCGTGCGGTATTCGGTGCGCACATGTTCATGCCAAGCTTCCGGGGAAATGAGAGGACATGCAGACAAGAAAGACAACGGTGGCCTCAAAAGCTGAAACCTAAACCCTGAAAAACAAAGCTGAACACATCTCAGAGCTTTAGACCCTCCTGAAGGGCAGTCAGACGCTGGGAGACTCCCGGATATTATGGGATCCAAACAGGGACCCCAATTCAGAGAACCCCGCATGTTAGTCCATGGTATGCCTCGAAGAGGGCTATACTGCAGAATGTCACTCCAGCCTTAGCCCCGCTCCCAAGTTTCGAACAATAAGCTCAAGAGCAGTGACTAACGATAAACCGTGGATCCTAAACTCCAAAAGTTAAAACCCGACTCGAAACATCACTGATCAGAGAAAACTTTGCAAGCCCGCAATATTTCAAGCCCCCAACCCTAGGACCCGAAGACCCCAAACCCTAAACCGTACGACCCGAAGACCCTAAAGCGGACCAGGTTCTGTTCCAGCCTCGCCCTGCCCTGCGTGTTCCTGTGCCCGACTCCTACTTATGAGCCAGGGTTTAGGGTTTAGGGTTTAGGGTTCAGGGTTTAGGGTTTCGGGTCCTCAGCTGCGATTGGGGTTTGCGGGCTTAGGGGTTGAGGGGTTGATATAGGGGCCTAAGCCTAAATGACTGCCAATACTATTTCGGGTGATCCTGTTTATGTTCATAGTTTTTTGGACCCCAAAACCCTATTCTAATGTTTACGGCCCTTATATTAGGCGTTTGGGGGCTTGGTGTTAGGGGTCACTAATAATTTAACATTTCGGGGTTCAGGGTTCAGGTTTGATGGATTGAATGCGCGAGCCGGGAGATTGTGGTTTTGTGGTTAAACCCGTTTTTAGGGTTTATGTAGGGTTTAGGGTTTAGGGTTTAGGGTGTAGGGTTTAGGGTTTAGGGTTTAGGGGCCGAAGGTTGGGAGGTCAGCTTCCTAGGGGGACCCCTTACAGGGGACCCTTCCTTCTTAACCCTTCTTATGGCTCTGTTAAGAGACGGTTTAGGGTTTAGGGTTTACTGAGAGGGTCTATATCCCCGAGGGTCGCCCTATAATCCTAACTCCTACAGTGGGGTTCGGGGTTCAGGTTTCAGGTGGTAGGGACGGGCGATGGCTTTGGTGTCTATAGCAGGAGTGACAAAGAGACACTCCGTCAGAGTAATATACAACCCTAAATAATTTCCAATGTTATTCCTAGGGTTCTTCTTTATGAATCTTGGGCCCAAAACCCTATCCGAGTTATTAAGCCCCCTACGTTAGCACGTCTTGGCATGTGTTTAACGTCTTCATGTCCTAAATTCCGAACCGGCTTATGGACACGGCCCTTTCAACTGTCATGGGTTGCTTGCAGTTTCTTGGCTGCCGGCTTCTGGTGGTACCTTCGGGGTTGTGGGTTTCGGTTTCAGGATTTAACAGTTTAGGTTTCGGGTTTTCGGGTTTCAGGCTCAGGCTTATAGGGTTGCTGGAAAGATCCCGGCACTACGCAAGCCTCTTATCAAGTGGCGTCCATCTTGGACCGTAAATCCTAACTCCCGAAGGCTTGACGACTTGCCTTGACTGTGGATGGCTATGTTCGGTTCCCTCCGGCACCGTTGCGTCGCAGCCTTGATTCCCACGGATTGGTACATGGGTAGTTCTCTAAATGAGGGTCCCGTTTTAGGTCCCAATATAGTACGGCACCCTTTGAAAATGGACCCTAAAAGGGACCCTAATTTAAAGAACTACCCACATACTACTGGCCGCGGCTGTGAGCAGAAGCAACAAGAAATTGAAGCCCGCATCCTGCAGATGTTGCAGGTATACCATGCACCATACGGTTTACTATACTGTACTATATACTATAGCATCCTAAAACCTCTAAATCCGCATACCCCCATCTAGATTAACTTAAACGTGCGGGACAGAAATCTTAATCCCCTGATATAGAAGCCTACTTGGAGTGTCATGGGACCTAGTAAGTACGGTTGCGAGGGAAGCACTTGGTTTAGGGTTTAGGGTTTAGGGTTTAGGGTTTAGGGTAGCATCTGCAGGTGTCCCAGACTGCAGCAAGGTTTAGAAGACTGCGGGTTGGATGCAAGATTCGAAGTTGCAGCATGTAGTTTATAGTATATAGTATAATATACCCTAAACCCTAAACCCTGCTTCTAAACATGACCTAAACTTTGGACATGGGGGCATACATGACGAAATCAGAATAAGGATTCCCAACCCCTAGCAATGCGGGAGTTTTAGGTTAACTCTGTCTGATTATCCGTATTGCAGCTGCCTGTACGCCTTTAATTATGCAGCAATCCCGGCATGCAACAAGTACGTCATGATGCCTTAAGCTACTAAACTTCGACAGCGGAGACTGAACATTTCAAGAAGACGACGGCTGCGCAGGTCTGCCAAACCCAAACCAGCGGCCGGTGCTGTCATGCCATGTTTGGTCGTGGTGTTGATAGGGCAGGATATGTTGATGCACAGAAGTGCGCGGCAGCGTTGATGTTTCGCCGTGGAGCTTGAGACCATGCTCGCAGGATCTTGTCGTTTGTGAAGGGGCTGAAGATAAAGGCCGTTGTCAGAGAATGATCGCGAGGAAGATTCCGAAGTCTTCAGCCAACCTTCTATATGTTTTTTGTGTTTCGCATGTGAAAACCTTGCACAGAGCCCAAGAACTGTCAAACAAACCTCGCGGATGCCCCACTCATTCGGCGTGATATCCTACAGCCAACTCCGGGTGAGTTGTCAAGGCAGCGACGATGTGTCACTGAAAGGGCAGCTCGCAAGACAGCTTGGCCGTGTCCGGGCCCTGGCTAAGAAATCGCCTCCATCACAAGTCAGGGTTGGGATGTATAGTGTTGACGAGCGGGCTGGGTGAATGGATGCTGACCCAATTACTCTGCTCAATCTGGACTGTGTACGGATGGTGTGACCTCCATCGCAGAGTTGTAGAACACCGGCTGCGACAAATTCATGCACCTGCAATCCTGAAACAGAAAGTTTGGCAAACTGCAAACTTGCTTTGCGTTCAAATCTCGGCTGCCATCTCGTTTCATGCCTGGGGCCGTGGCATCCGTGCAGTACCATATGCGTTGGAATGACTAGTGATCAATCAGTCTTTTTCACCTACGTGGATATATAGTTACCCTAAATCCTCGTTCGACCGACTGGTGCCCCTGTGTTGCCTGACAGGACGGCCTGCGGGTCCTTAGCTTCGACGCTCTGTTGTCCTCAGGCACGGGTCTCAGCCACGGTGCCAAGGATCCGACTTTAGAGTTTAGGTTGTAAAGGTATATGGTTCAGGATTTAATTAGGGCTTCTCGTTTTGCAGGGGTCGGGCGGGCGGGCTGTCGTTAGGCCAGGCGCGGTAATGGATAGTTCTGCAAAGACACCAGCGGCATGTCGATTCCTGTGACCCACAACATCTCCCTAGTACGTATAAGGCAGGCTGAACGGGCGCCGCCAACCCTACCGTTATTGCAACACGGTGTCGGGGCAAAACAAGCAAGTTGTAAGGGCTATCAAGTTTTGCTTTGTTCAATGTTGACGAACCGCAGGCATTCCACCGCTCGCTTTCTTAGTACCGTTAACTTCTCGGGTGCATGTCGATGCATTTCCTGGCCTTTAGTTGTCGGTAAGTAGAAAAGCACTTGCTGCTCCCACCGGTGCTATTCTTCGGCTACCGCATTTCCGATGCTCTCTGCCTTACACCGAGCGAAATTCTGATATCTTGTCGAAGGTGGTCTCCCTTCACACAAAGATGAGAAGCTGGACCGCCGGCAGAATGCCGAGGCAGTCTACAGCAGTCAGTTCCGGGAATTCGGGCACAAACGTTCAGTCGTTCCTTTCTCCAACTAGATTTGTCCACCCTGAACTTGGGCCCTGAACCCGGACCCCAAGCCCGGAGGTCTGCACAATAAGCGCTTTCTCGTTTGGACCTGAAGGTTTTTTGTCATGTAAGATGTTGACCAAAGCGGATTCGTAACCATGCGCAACCAGAACCTTGTAGTTCTGACTCTACTTGCATTAGCACATGCCCAAATCCCATTCTAAGCAGTATTGCCCCTACATTCGAGCTTCCATGGCCGAAATTCGTAATTTAGCGACCTTAAAACCAAGAACAGGGTTGGGGGTATACGGTATATCATAACATTATCCCTATAATGAGGTATAAAGATATACTCTTAGTAATTATTCAAGTTATTCCGACTCGATATTATCTGGGAACATCGTTTAGAGCTAGCGGATCCTCAACATGCAGCCTCGGAAGTCGGTCCCAAAGTTTTCACTTTTCAGCATGGGATGGCGGATATTATAGAGGCCTGAATAACTAGTCGTGGCTATTGTTGTATTCCCCCCTGCATTTCCCCACTCTCCTGCAATATCCCCAAGCCAGGTCACCTTAGTGGTACTACTTCATGAGGTTTCCTTAGTATTGTTAGAATACCCCCAAATCCCCCACACCCGGTTCTACACACGTACGCGCGGGCATACATGTATGCTTAAATGCATGCATACACAGCCGCGAGCACACACACACTGTGTTTCATGCTCACCATGAAATCCACAGTTTATTCGCTGTGCATGCTTTGTATGGACGCGATGATGACACAGCGCGATATGCAATGCTTTGCTATGCCATGCTAGGCCATGCACGTTGTGGATTTGATGTTACATCGCATCCTTGATGTTCACATCGTCGATAAGATAAATGGTTAGCGAATGCACACACCCCCAGAGACGAAGTCCTCAGGCTTCCGAGTTTCGTGTTTCAAGGTTTCGGTGCTTAGATGTTCGGGCTCAGGGTGGAAGGCTTCAGGGTTTAGGGACTAGGGTTCAGGGTCTAGGGTTTAGGGGATTTAAGGAGACATGCCGCTGCTTACTTCCATGCCGTGGCGCTGAAAACCGCGCTGTGTGGAAGCCCAAGCCCACCCCGAAGCCACGGATCCCATGTTTTTTCGCCGGGCCCTTCGTCCCGGGCTTTTCGGGAAAAAATAGGAACCCAAAAAGGACATAAGCATAAGCATGTTATGGGGATATCCGGCTTCATTATAAGGGGGTTTACATGGGATATCCCTATCCTAATTTTTGCTTATATGCTTTTTGGGGGGTCCTATTTAAAATTAAGGCTTAGGGAAACTCAGGATGTTCGGGGTCCTGCAGGCACATGGCTAAGGATGCCCTAAGTCTTCTTTAGGTGTGTTGCTGCTTGGGGCTTAAGACCATATATGTTTGATGGTTTAGGGTTTAGGGCTGTAGGACCAAGCCCTTCCAAAGTCCCGAAAGCTGGAGCAGGATGTGCTGGTGGAGGTGTTGATCATGTCTCGATGCGCCGCACTGCTGTCGACGTGCCCTAGTTTGCGGAGGGTAGCAGGAGCATCTAAATACACTAGATGGAATAGGGATGCTGCCACCATCGGTTACCATCGGTTACCCGCAAATGCGACTTTGACTACTACATATGTGCTCTTTGTGATGTGCCTTGTTGCCGTCATTGCTTTGGAGTGTATGGCCTGTCGCATGATGTCGCATGTACCATCCTGAGGACTTGTTGTTGAGACACGAGCCCTGGACCCTAAACCCTGAACCCTAAACCCTCAACCCTGAACCCGAAACCCCAAGACCGGAGAATCCAGGTACAGCAACGTTAGCGTCGCAGCTGTTTACTTCTCCGAGAGCCTGCCTCAGAACGGCCCTGTTCTCTTGGATCCTACAGGGCTCATAGGGTTTAGGGTTTAGGGTTTAGGGTTTAGGGTTTAGGGCTTAGGGTTCATAGACCCTGACCTCCTTCAGGCATCTCAGCTTCGTTCGACGCTCGGATCCGGAGAAAAACCCTGTCAATCCCTGACGAAACCCTAAACCCTAAACCCTAAACCCTAAACCCTAAACCCCTAAACCCCTAACCCCTAAACCCCGAAAACCTAAACCCTAAAACTTCGGGTTCGGAATAGAATCCTGTCAAGCCCTGACCAAAAACCCCTTCAAAACCTAAGTCCAAGCCGATGGCTTCAAAGTCCTAAACCCTGAACCATCCTAAGCCCGCGCCCGAAACCGTGCCTGCTTGAAGCGTCAGGCTTTGTTTAGGGTTTAGGGGTTTCGGGGTCTAGGGTTTAGGGTTTATTTGCGTTTGGACATGGCCTGTGCGCCGTGAAGTAGAACCCTAAGAACAGCTACACATGTAAGACAAATAGAAACTGGAAAGACATGACACGGTTTAGGGTTTAGGGTATTTTAAGCCCTAAACTCGATAGCAAAACAGGAACTCTAAAGCCTAAAGCCTAAACCCTGAACCATCGACCCCAAACTAAACAAAAGACCCCAAACCGTAAACCTAAAGCCTAAACCCTAAAGCCCTTAACCTTAAACCCTAGGACCTAAACCCTCAAGAAGCCCTTTGAAAAATACAGACACCAAGCCCTAAACCCCTAAAGGAGCCCTGTGAAAAAGAAATAGACCCTTAACCCCCAATGGAGCCATTAAAAAGGAACAAACAAAATCTAAACCCTAAACCCTGAAGAAGCCCTGGAAAGAAAAATAAACCCTAGACCTACACCTTAGAAAAAGAAACGCCCTAAACCTTTAACCCGAAGGCCCAACCCTAAAACCAAAACCTTACAAAAAAAACCTAAACCCTAAACCCTAACAACAAAAACCACACCTAAACCCTATAACAACAGAACCGAAACCCTAAAAATAGAACCGAAACCCTCAACCCTAAACCCTAAACCCTAAACCCTAAACCCTAAACCCTAAACCCTAAACCCTAAACCAGAACGGAAGGCCCGGTTTCCCCTTCTTCATGTTCGGCGACGGCCTTCCGGAGGGCTCCCGGGCCGCGCCCGTTGCATCCTACGGAGGCCTCGGGGCTTTCTGAACCAAAGGGGTTTAGGGTTCAGGGTTTAGGGTTTAGGATTTAGGGTTCAGGGTTTAGGGTTTAGGGTTTAGGATTTAGGGTTCAGGGTTTAGGGATTAGGGTTTAGGATTTAGGGTTCAGCAGCTCCGGATCGAGCAATTTTACAACAGAGTAACCTTCTTGGTATAGACATAACACCCACCCACCCAGGAATCCCATAATATTGGAAAACTAAACACTTCGTTTTGTTTCAACAAGCCTCCAAAGTCTATAATGCTTCCTTCATTCCCAGATGCAAAGACCTTCGACGCTTTCGCCACATGGACATCATATACACTGTCCTCGGGCTCGTTGGACGACAGACGGGCTAGACAATCTTCTTGCTAAATCCAGCTTGGCCCTTTGTTCTTCGCATCCCTGCCTGGTTTTCTAGACGAACCATATTTTGTATTTTGCTTCTCCACTGAGTCTTATATTCTCTTTTGATTTGCTCTCCCACTCTCTAGCGATCCGACTTTGCAGTAGTAGTAGTAGTAGTAGTAGTAGTAGTAGTAGTAGTAGTACAGGGGCCGGGGAGGAGCCAGGGCATCAAGAGCCACGAGTTTAATTCGGCTGGAGGATGGGACCACAAGGCGTGCATTGATCAACTGGAGAGCCGGCCAAAGCCAGCCCAGAGCCCTAGATCCTAAACCCTAAAGACCAGCTATAGAAATTGCTTTTCGGGGGTCCAAGGGGGTGTCCCCCTGGCGCGGTCACAAAAACTGCATTCGTTCGTGGCTCAAGGCACAAAAACTGCATTCGTTCGTGGCTCAAGACACAAAAACTGCATTCGTTCGTGGCTCAAGGCACAAAAACTGCATTCGTTCGTGGCTCAAGGCACAAAAACTGCATTCGTTCGTGGCTTAAGGCACAATTTGTGCCTTGAGCCACGAACGAATGTGCCTTGAGCCACGAACGAATGTGCCTTGAGCCACGAAGGTCATTAAAGTTTAGACTATCATATGATAGAGAGGTTCAGGGTTTAGGGTTTAGGGTTTAGGATTTAGGGTTCAGGGTTTAGGGTTTAGGACTTAGGGTTCAGGGTTTAGGATTTAGGGTTTAGGACTTAGGGTTCAGGGTGTAGGGATTAGGGTTTAGGACTTAGGGGTTTAGGGGTCCTAAGGTTGATGAAAAAAATCCCGCAGTACCCATAATAAAAAGTATGCCACAGTTCTTAAGGGTTTAGGGTTTAGGGTTTAGGGGTTTAGGTTCTTATAGTTTAGGATCCTTAAGGTAGTGCAGGGTCTATATCATCAACGGTTTTTGGGCTTTCGGGGTTTCGGGTCTGTAGCTGTTCAGGTTTTTAGGGGGTATCGGGGGTTTTACGGGTGTTGGGTTGAGGGGTTAAGGGTTGAGGGGTTTTAGGGTTTAGGTGTTTAGGGTCTAGGGTTTTTGGGTTTGGGGTTTAGGGGTTTTGGGTTTAGGGGTTGAATTAGGGGTTTAGGGTTTAGGGGGTTATGGGTATATTTTTCCAAGTCATAGTAATGATTCCTAGTCTTGAGCCTTTTCACTCTAGTTTGCAGGTACTTGAGACCCTAAACCCCAACCCTAAACCCGAAACCCTTTGGTTAGGGACTTAGGGTTTAGGGTTTAAGGCCTCGGGTTTATCTACGGGGTTGTTTAGGGTTCCTTTGGGGGTTGTGTTGCTATGTTGGGGCTGTCCGGCTCTTAGGGTGTTGGGTTCAGCTGAGTGTAAGGAGGTCAGAAGTTTAGGGTTTAGGGTTTCGGCATTTAGTTTTGGGGCTTAGGGTGGTCGAAGTGGTTATAATACGTCGTCTGGATAGCCTGGCTTGTTGGTGACATAGTCGCTTGATGAACTCTAAGCTTTAGGTGCTTAACCTGTAGAAGCCCTAAATCCTGAACCCAAGGCTGGATGAGTGAGTTTCGTGTCTAAACCCTCCCTACGAAGCTGTATAAGTGAGTTTAACCCTAAACCCTAAACCCTAAACCCTAAACCGGCATTCCTCATCTACCCGGGGTGGACTGAGTTTCCAGGCTTAGATGGTCCCTAAGTTGAGGAGCTTTTTTTTTGTGGTGCGGCATTCCGCCCACTTCTGCAGTTCTGGGTGGCTTCAGGAGCAGGTTTTTCAAACTTAGGGCTTAATAAAAGGGTTGGGGTTTGGCATGCTACGTTGTATCATAACTGGATTGTATGGATTGTATCAAGACATTGGGTTTAGCATTCGTTCACTGATCTCATGGCAGCGCAGGCTTCCGAAGCTCTCGCGCCTGCTACTGCAGAGTGGACCGGGGCTCGGCAAGTGCACCTGATCGAGGCAGAGGAGGGGACCAATTTATCCGATTGTGCCTGTTGTCCTCATCAGATCCCACAACCCATCATAATTCTTGGAAACTCTGAGTGCTTGCGCATGTGAGTCTGCGCTCGCATGCGCCTGCCTGCTTCTTTGTCACTGGATGTATGTTCGCCCCTCTCCCTCGCCCTCTCCTTCCTTAACCTGGCTCTGTGCATATACCTACCCTTCACCCAGCCTCTGTGCATGCACCTACCTGTTTCGGTTAGCCGATTCTGGTGCATGTGTGTGTGTGTATATATATATATCTATATACATCCTGGAGAGCCCATTGTAGCACTTATTTGTGCTCGACCCCTGTTTCGTAGCAGTTTTTCTGTGTCGAGCTCTTTTAATAGAATCGAGCGCTTGGGGTGTCTGAACGTGCGCTTTCTGTATTTCGAAGGTCTAGAGCGATCGGTTCTGCTTTCACAAGCATATTTATAGGCTCTGTTATATAGATTCGTTTCCTACCCTATACCACAAATCATAGAAGATTGTCGAAGCACTGAACCGAGAGACGGTTCGGGGCCCTGTGGAATGTGTTTGCTTACCATGCATGTTTTGCAGCTGTTGGCTACCGAACCCCTACGGTGCCGAGCTCGTATCCATGCATCTGCTGCAGGCTGGGGTCATGTTCAAAGCTATAGGGTGTCTGTATGTGCACGCATGTGTGCGGCTCTGCGAGGTTCTCCATGGCATCTTCATCGTGACGTTTGTCCTGCCAAGGTGATGCCGGCAATTCTTACTGAAAGTTCTGGATTGGCAGTACTTCGCTTTGGGTTGAGTGTGATTTGGGCTTCTCATGTTAGCCATTTTGGCTGGTCAAGCGACTTTTTTAATCGGCTGTTCGGGGCAATGGCCGGGTGTCCAGTGCTTACGGCATGGGCTGCGCTACCGTACCTCACGACTCGGGGCACCGAGGGCAAGATTTGTACCATTGGTGAAGAAGGCGTTTGCAGGCAGGCAATTGCTGATAACGCTGAGATTATCAAGCCGGTAATCATGCAGTTCGGTGCCTTGGTTTCATACGTAGTTCGTGTAGCGAGAGCACTTTTCGTCGTAGTTCTGCTCCCAACCATTAGCTCAGGCATGCGCCCGAGCCTCTATGCAATGGAAGATCTTGCAGGTCGCTTCTTATTCGATGCTTGCCCACGTGGGAAACCTCTGCCAACACGTGCCTCAATCCTTTATCTCATAGGGATTCATGCGGTCAAGCCATGAAAGAGCTGCATGCAGAAGCACCCATGAATAAGCGAGGTGAGGAGATCAAGCTGGAAGCTTGGGTTTTGAGGCGCATCATAAGCTTGTTCTCACGACTGGCGAAGCGACCCCACATCCCTCGCAACGGCGCTATTCGCGACCTTCTCTACAGCTTGGGAATGGCCGGAGCCTAGATCGCGCTCACTAAAGCTTCGTACATACATGAGGCTTGGGTTTTGAAAACGTCGGCTCCATACTATCAGTTATAATCATTCTGAGGACCCCAGCCTGGTGAAGCGGCTGCCGATGAAGGTTCGGGCGATGAGGATGACGATGATTACGAGGAAGAGCAGGATGAGTCGGAAGAGGAGCTTGAGGATGATCCCGAAGTTCCTGTGGAATCCCTGAAGGACTACATTGACTACATCTAGATACGCAGTCATTGGTAGATTGAACATGAAAATAAACTGGGCTTTAGCTTTGAGCTAGGACACCCGTGGCCCGGATTCTATGTCTACAACGAGAACCGCCCCGGGTTCGAATGCCTCGACCTCACCTAATCCGGATGCTGCCCCAAGAATCTCGCTTGCAACGTGAGCCGAGAAGGGCGACACAACCTTTAGGAATATAGCCTAGGAGTTGTAATAATCCGAAACCATGCCCAGGCGGTCCTGCTCTGGTTACTCCACCTCCTCCTTCGCGGTCAAGCTCAATGGAGGAGCTTCGCACACCTCCGCCCAAAACACGTGGCTTGATGCAACTAACCAATGCACGGTTGTTGTTTTTTGCCGTGGTGTGTGTACACATATATAACTGGGGGGGGGGGGGGGGGNNTCTCTGTGTGTGTGTGTGTGTTTGCTTGCTTGTTTCCCTGTTTGCTTGTTTGCTGGTTTGTTGCTTTGCTATTGTGTGTATGTGTGCTCGAGTGCAGAAAGTTTGGTGAACGGTTTGTGGTTTTGGGCCATTCATTGAGGTCTTCATTCGCCGGAGTCAGCGCCGAAGCTTTGTCGCCATGTTACGAAGAAGTGTGGCTTCATATGCCAGACATGTCGGCAGGTAGAATGGTCGCAGAAGGTGCTGCAAAAGTCACTCTGTGTTACCAAAGACTTCCAGCACCCGGAGATAATGCAAGCAGCATTCATGTGTGATAACTGCGATGCATTGTCTAACGACATCGGGAGCTTCAAGCTGGAAACCTGCTCTATGAATCTGGCCCATCTGGCCGGATGTCCGGTGCCACCCACGGCATTGCAGGCAAGCGCAGTGCCAGAAGAGCCCCGTGAACCCGCTCCCAAGCTCAGGCGCACGTTGCATGAGACCACGCATGACGAGGTGCCGAAGGCATTGTTGGAGCTTGATGCGAAGGAGCTTGTGGATTGCCTTGATGTTTCGATGGCCCCGAAAATTTCAAAGGCTATTGAGGATGCACAGAAGGAGCTGGATCAGCTTCTGACATTGCAGGCCTTGACTGAGGAACGTCGTCAGCTGGAAAGCTTGATGGTAGAGAAAGCGAAGCAAGAAAGTGTGACGACGGCTACCCCAAGTATCCCAGCTGCTAATGCATCAAGTCACCTGCACTGATTGTTTCCACTGGTTGTTTCCACCCATAGGCCTGACCCATATATGTATCCAAGGTCCTGATCAGACCGACACCCTCCCGATGTCGGTTCCAGAAGGAGATCATCTTGCCGAGGTTTTCCGCATCTCGGTCAAGGATCTTGATGCCGAAGAGGCAGATGTGCATGGCTACATATTTTCTGTGCACGCTGAAATATGCATGCATAACTGCATGGGTTTGTGATTTGGTGCTACGACTTGTGTCGCATGAGCAGGCGGCATCTCCCGTGCCCGTGGATCAGGCCTTGCAGCCTGATTCCTCAACAAAGCCTTCTGACGAGAGCCCGGCCCCGCCTGCAACAAAGCCTGATTCTTCAGCAAAGCCTTCTGACGAGAGCCCAGCCCCGCCGGCAACAAAGCCTGATTCTTCAGCAAAGCCTTCTGACGAGAGCCCAGCCCCTGTGACATTGCCCGAGCCCAGTGAGCCAGAGGCATTGAAGCGAGAGGCATGCATTTCGCCAGCAGAGCAGAGGGATCGTACTGGCGGTGCGGTCCGTGGCCGGGGTCGTGGGGGTCGTGGGGGTCGTGGCCGCGGTCGCGGTCGCGGTCGTGGGGCTAAGAATGATCCAGATGAGAATCTCCATGAAGAGCCAGAAGAAGAAGAAGAAGCTAAAGATGAATGCGATAATGATGATGATGATGATGATGCAGACCCCGATGCTGCAGCTTCCTCGGCTCCCAACGGTGCCGCGACACGAAAGACGGGGAAGTCTGCTGCGAACAAGGCGGACGTTGGTGGATGTGCCAAGGCCAAACCCAAGGCAAAGGCAAAGGCAAAGGGCAAATCTGCCAAAGCAAAGGCTGTGGCAAAGACAAAGGCCAAGGCTGCAGCGAAGGCAAAACCCGAGGCAAAGGATAATGATCCAAGTGCTTCGGCTGGGCCGAAGGCCGTGGCAAAGACAAAGGCCAAGGCTGCAGCGAAGGCAAAGCCTGAGGCAAAGGATAATGATCCAAGTGCTTCGGCTGGGCCGAAGGCCGTGGCAAAGACAAAGGCCAAGGCTGCAGCGAAGGCAAAGCCCGAGGCAAAGGATGATGATCCAAGTGCTTCGGCTGTGCCGAAGGCCAAAGCCAAAGCAAAGGCCCGAGCGGCCGCAGCAGAGGCACCGGATGCAAGCATCAAGAAGGGCGGCAAGAAGCGCGGATTGGATGAGGGCGACAAAGCCGATGCTGAGCTTCGTCAGCTTCGCAAGGAGGATCAGAAAGCAAAGAACACCAGGAAGTCGTGCGAGTACCGTCGTGCGCTTGCGAAAGCAAAGGCTGAAGGCCTTGATGGAGAGACTTGCCTTCTGATTGCCAGGAGGGTGACTAGTCAGAAAGATTGGGCATGAAGTATCGTGTTATTGTAATTATTTTGGTGTCCACACGTTGCATGTGCTGTGCTTATCTAAGGCATATCGGGAGGCTGAGTGAGTCTGATCGTTCAGCTGCTTGGGAGAGATCAGCTAGTAAGCTAGCACTGGCCTTGTGCATTTTCCAGCCCAAACTAAACCTATACAGTGTGCATTGCAATCGAACGAAACATTGAGTGTTGCTTCACCTTGCTGGTCCATGCTCTAGAGCGATGCAGTTGCTTCACTCTTCGGGGGTTGCAGCACATACATAAGCTGATGTGCTTATGCCGGGATTTGGGGCTGCCATGACATGGCAATATTCAGCCCCTAGTGTGGAGCCTGGCACTTTATATTTGGATCTGGGCGCTATAGATCTGATCGGAGAAGTTTGCTTCTGGAGCTCCAGTGCACATGCTGCTGTGTCAAAAGAAATGCAACTTCTTTAGAGCAAGAGTCTTGCGACCTATTGTCCAGATATCTCGAGCTGAACTACGGTGATTGCAATAGATGATCGTGCCAGGTGCCCCGCCTTCGAGATGCGGGTCGATGGCTGGAAGATCCGAGCACGCATCGCAGGCACGCCCAAGCGCCTGCATCATTTTGATAAGTTGTGCGCAAGTTCCTTTGGCCTTTAGCCTTGAGCTGTGATCGATGCTTTCGCTGCAATGCAATCATACTCAAACCCGAAGCCGGATCTATATAGTGTCACAACACGCAGCATAGCGTCAGAGAGTCGATTGGTCTAGCCGCATGCAGTAGCTAAGTCTACGTACTCGACAGCAAGCCATGGCTGCTCGCATGGA